GGAATAGGTGTTAGGAATACAGTGCAAGGTGGGACCTCAGCGGATCCAACGGTGAAGGGCAAACACGCCATCAGACAGAACTTACATGGGAAGGGAGTTTTACTGGGAAGGGAAGGGAGTGGAGGAAGAGAAAGAGAAAGGGAAGAGAGAAGAAAAAGAGAGTCAGAGAGAAAAGAGGGAAGAGAGACAGAGAGACAGACAGCCCAGGCTACTTAGTGACCACTGTCTCCTCTTGGCCTGAGAACCAGCACTTGAATCAACACACTGGGCTTCATTTCTACACCATGCCCTGTCCCTCCTATCTGCCAAACTGGAAACCATTTGGCAGCGCTGATTCTCTGTGTTGGGGAGGAAATGGGGACTAGGATGCTTTCTTCTATAGGCAGAATTTTCAACTGATACAACCTCTCTGGAAAACCTTCTGTCAAAGTGTAGCATGAGTCTTCAAAGTGCTGACTCCGGGGTCAGGACCTCTCCGCCTATATTCATGTGTTCTGGAGCAGAAAGCATATGGACATAGCTGTACACAGGAGTATGCCCTCTCAAGTTAAAAGACAATGGAAAAGCACTTCTAGAACTTTCTTATAAATTAAGCCCATATTGAGTTCTTCAAGAGAAGGCCAACAAGTTGGATGCTACTTTTTAAAGTGTTTGCTTTTTTGTTGTTGCTGCTGGGTTTTTTGTTTTGTTTTGTTTTGTTTTAGAGATTGGATTACATGTTCCTCTAGCTGGCCTTCAATCACTCTGTAGCTGAAGCTGTCCTTGAACCTCTGACCCTCTTACCTCTACACCTCAAATGCTAAGACTGCAGGAATGTGACTCCACACACAAGCAGACATCACTTTTGACCCTCTAAGCTCCTATGGGTCAAGCAGCCCTCTGGCAGTGCCTGGGTGCAGGGACGGCTATAGAACCCCCAACCAAACTTTCTTCCTGCTGAACCCAAGCCCTCTTTTGTTCCTAGCACTATATGTACAAGCTGAATTCCTTTGCATGGAGAATGATTTTCAGTATGCCAAGTCAGCTATATTCTCTGAAATATGTTTTCTATAGCTAAGTTAGGTTAACGTGAATCCCAGCAGCCCCAGTTCATAGGAAAAACAGGGAAGTCAGCAGGTGGCCCAAGGTCACACCCAAGGTGCACATGGTGCCTCAAGTTCCTTCTACACTTTATATCCCTGAGTAGATTCGTCTCCACTAAGGATGCCAAGCAAAGATGGCTTTCCCCTGCTCTTCTGGGTTTCTGTATGGCCAGAGAGCAGCCACACCACTAAGGATCCATGTCCTACTAGGTCCTTACTTCCTGCTCTGATGGTTAAGTGCAAGATTCCAGTGTGCTGAGTATGTAAGGTCCTAAGCCCTATCTCTGCTATTGTTTTCCACACAGGTAGAATTTGATGACCTGGTGGATTTGGACTTCCTAACCTCTCTTCCTCTGATTCTAGAGGCTCCTCAGTTGTGACTGAGTAATGTCCAGGTAAATCCACCATTAACTGAAAATGGTAATTAAAATGAAAAAAGAAAGTTAGAGCCAGCTGTCTATTGTCTCCCTAGCCTTTTCTTCATTTCTTAAGTCAGATAAACACCTTGCCTGGATATGGAGTAAGCGGTTTCAGTATGAGAGACCCTATGTGGGTTTGGTCTTGGGGGCTTAGTATGGGAGCTTGGTATGAACCCATGGTCTCTTGTGGATTTTATGAAGTAGGGTTGTCTTTTTGTTTGTTTTTTTGAGACAGGGTTTCTCTGTTTAACAGTCCTGGCTGTCTTGGAACTGGCTTTATAGACCAGGCTGGCCTTGAACTCACTGAGACCCACCTGCCTCTGCCTCCCAAATGCTGGGAGTAAAGGGGTGCGCCACCCCCACCCTGCTGCTTGTTCTTATAACAATTCCTCACATCCCATGTAGGGTGTCCAGCGAATCATCTGAGCTCACAGACAAGCATTTTACTGTTTTCTTAAACAACAGTGATTCTCCTGGGAGTCTTGTCCATAGATTTTTGTTTGCTGCAACGGAATGGCATCAACACTTTGTCAGAGGAATGTGTCCCTGCTGAAGACACCTTTGGCTCAGCAACACATTTGAAGACACATGATCTATTTTCCAAACTATGCCATCTTTGGAGGCCACTTAACCTTCCCAAGTCTTGTCACCCCCCCGCCACACACACACCATTTTTTTAAAGCAGCGGTAATAGGCTAGGTGGCCAAGAGATTTATACTTAGAAAGATGACTTTCCTGGCTTCATCCTCATTCTGGCATTTCAGGTAACATGGTGTAGCTGCTGGACAGAGAAGCCTGCCCAGTGCTCACACATCATAGACCACTTCCCTCTCTGACCCCATGGGGTAACCATAGTTTATAGACAGAGATGAGAACACTGGAAACCACATCTCTAACTGCCAAGCCTCAGCCATGTCTATGAACAATGAACACAGCTGGGGACAAGGTGGCCACTGACCTGCCTGAACCCCAGCAGTGGGCCTCTGCCTGGGCTGATCAAACAGATGGCAGCCCCTCCCCCATGCTACTCCACCCACATTTTCCACTCCATCTCCTAGGTGATGCTGAGTATCTGTGTGTAAGAGCAGAGAACAGGTACCTGACCTCTTCTGTATTGTATCCATTAGTTGCTAAGTTAGAAGCTGCCCTGCAGCCTGGAACTCTAGAGGATGCTGACACCTGGGCCTTGGGAGAGAGCCCCTTCTGAGCATCTTGGAGGTTCCCATGTTGGCCACATGTCAACTCACTTGGGGGTGCCCAGCCTCCTGCAGGGGAAAGTGACTGGTTCCTGCAGAGACTTCCATAAGTAGGGAACATGTATTTCAGTAAAGCCATCCTATAACCCATCATGTATCTGCCAGTCAAGAGGGCTTAGTGTTTATCTTTTGAGCACATGGAGTGTCTGGGCACTGAGCTAGATGGAAGAGACACTGACTGTGGTCCATGTCTCCTGGGACTCAGAATCTAAATGGGGAACCAACGAATAAAAGAGGGGCTGCTGAGAAATGTTTTCTAGATGGGAGAACACAGAGAATCCCTCTTGGATTAACTGATGGGGACTGCTAGATTGCTCTGGGATGACAGGAGGCTTGAGACTGCACTCTGGCTGCCTGGGCAGAATGTCCTGATAAACTAGTGATGTCTGTTTATTGAAGGGAGAACATAATAGTTCTTGTGCCAAATATCTTCTGACCCTACCTTAGACCAATGTGTGAATGAAAATATATCAAGTTCTATCTAAGTAACAAGTGGGCCTTGTATTATTTGAATTATAGCGAACACGTATTATTCCTTATATGTCAGGCATGACCCTAGATGATTTCACAATAATCTTCTGATGTCAGGACTGTCTCTACCTCTGTCTTATGCATGAGGAACTTGAAACCCAGAAACAATAAGCCCGCAGCCACAGTCATCAAATGTCAGTGCCAAAGGGGCTTGGTGGTGGACTGGCCTAAGCCTTTCCTTCACAGTAAGGAAGAGGAAACCTCAAAGAGGAACTTCACCCAAGGCCATTCAGAGCTAAAAAATGGAAGGGAGGGAGAGAAGGTCCCAGCTCCATTTGGCCAGAGGCTGTGGGTTACGGGCACCCAGACACGCGCAGAGTGAGCCAGTGAGGGAGGGCATCAGGAGGCTGGGGCTGGCCCCAGTGTCCATTTCTTTTACTCAGCTTCACAAGTAGCCTTTTGGAAAGTTAAGTCCCGGACAGGGAAGTGCCGCAGGCACCCCATCACTCCCCACCCCTACCTCACCCCCCCCATCCAAGCAGAGTTAGATGCAGAGGCAGAAAGGGGATGAATACAGAGAGGGAGAATAAAGGCCAGAAGCTGTGCACACATCCCTCCCTGCCAAGGGACCTGTGTGGGGTTTGACCAGGTGAAGGCGAGGCTGGCAGGCTGGCTCTGGAGTGGCACATCCGTGATCCCATTTCATAGGTACTGAGTGCCCGCCCAGTCCCCAGCGTTGTTCTAGGCTTTGAAGCAAGCAAAACACTTGGAGGTGTTTTGGTTGGAGCTTTGACTCAGGAGTACTGATAGGTGGGTAGTCAAGGAATAACCCGAATGAGGCAAAATAGCACAAATGCCCCAGGACAGATGGCAAGCCTGTGTTTGGAGTGGGGAGAGGGAAGCAGAGATTTCTGTCTGCTGGGACTTCAGAGGTGGACCGCAGCTTAGGAGTATTCCTGCAGAGGACACAGGTGATGGACAGTGGGTAGTCATGCACACCCGGGAAGAGCGCCTCCTGTGGAGGTGGGGGTGGGTGCTATACCAGGTTCTAGATTCCCCCTGTGAGCCCTAGGGCAAAGACTGCTCTTTGGCAGAGATGCACTCTGGCTCCAGGCATAGCTGAGCTAGTGAGGCCCCTCCCCTTCCTTTGCCTTGGAACCCAAGAGCTGGGCAGGCTTCCCGGTCCTGAGGCTGTTTATCTAGTATGCCATCACTCTCGGTGGGGCCTCAGGCCCCCTCACCCATGAATGGAGGACCCAAGAGCCACCGGAAGCTGCAAGGCGGCAGGCAAGGGAGGTGTGTGTGTGTTGTCTTTGAAGGTGCAGATGCCGAGTTCTGCTTTGCCCAAGGGGACTAAGCACCTGCTGTGCTTCTGGCAGGCTACAGGGCCCCCCTCTTGTATTGTGGGGCTCCTCAGTTCCCTCTAAGGAGGATTGGTGATGTCATCCCGGGCCCTGTGGACTTTTCCCACCAGCTCTTCCTCTTCTTCCCAAACGCAGATGACAGAGATGGAGGCCAGCAGAGAAAGAGCCCTTGCTGGGGGCTCGACTTTATTTGTTGACTATAAAAATGTCAGCTCCTTTGGGCAGCTTCTTGAGTCAATATTTGTTGTTCTGAGGCTGAGTTCAAATGCTCAGTAATCCTTTTGGCCTAGCCTCTTCCTCCTCACCTGGGCGAAGACACACACCCACAAATACTTGGCAGGGTCCCCTCACCAACTGAGCCATCAGCCTGCTCCACGGCTTCAACGCCATTCCTGAGAGTAGCCGCCCCCAAGTCTCGGGGCCCAAAGGCAGGCATTGGTAATTCAGATAAAAGCAAGGGTTCTCAAGCATCTCATTCACTGTCAAGCTGGGCAGCATGCTGAGGGCACTGATGGCAGTGAGGGTGGCAGTGGCCAGAGTCCCAGCACGTGCCGCAACGTTCCAGGTGTTGCCTTTTCCATGAGCATTCCCCCAGCCAGTCTCAAGCCATTCTCTGGGAGGAGGCGGAGCTTCTTCCCATTTCCCTTGGAAACTTCTGTTCCAGCCACTTCTTCTCTACTTCCAGCAGCCATCTCTGGTAAGAAGGCCAATGGGGTATTGGTGGAGAGACATGGAGTTCTCAAAGCAAATGGACCTCAAATCCCCTATTATGTCAGTGTGATGTTAGACCGGTTACTTACCCTCTCTGAGCCTCACTTTCTCATTTACAAGAAAGAAGACTTACCCTACCTAGCTGTTTTCTTGTTTACAGTGCACACAAACACTCAGTAGGTCAGCTGACCCTTAGTATGTACTTGTATTTATCCTTTCCATGCTACGTTTGGCACATTCTGATATTACATAATTCTCTCTTCCTTGCACATGGAGCTATGCCTGCACAGCACCATTCTGGGCCTCAGAGTCCACTCCATTGGTACCTGGGACACTCTCACAGGTAAGGGCTGATATCACGCACGTTTGCCCTGCCAGTTTGCTTTTTACCCCGACATGGCTGCCAAGATTGGCAGGGCCCTGGTACCTGAGGGTGCAAGGCAGAGCCATCCCCTGGGGCAGGTGCAAGCCTTGCATCTGTTGCCAAGAGGGACCTTCAGGTGAGGGTCACTAGATCTGCCTCATGGGCTCACAGTGACAGCCTGGGGCTCACTAACATAATGACTACTGAGGACTGGGGCCTGCAGCCCTGTCCCCTCATTGCTGTGTGCCCTATAGCTCTACAAAGAGGGCTGTACTTCTGACAAGGAAGCAGAGAGAAAGGCCCCACATGACTTAATCCTAGAGTAAGCCCAGAGGATGGACATGGACCTTGGGAGTTCCTCAGATGACATACTCAGAGAACTCCATCCCAAAAGCTGCTAATCCGCAACCAGCCAGCCACGGATACTCCACCTCTCAAGGCATCCTGTGTGAAGTCCTGGAGTTGGTCATGAGCTCTAGGGACAAAGCCATTGATGCTCCTCCAGTCTGTCTGTGTTCCAGCCCAGGAAAAGGTAGCTGGATTGTTTTTGTTTTTCTAGTACCCAGGAGGGCTTTGCTTCAGATACACTTCCATTGACTTTTTAATTAATTTATTCAGTTAATTAGGTCTTATATATTCTAGGATGGCCTAGGACACAGCTATTTAGCCATGATTAAACTTGATCTTTTTTCTTTTACTTTTAACATTTGTTTATTAATTTGGTATACTTGTATGGAGGTCAGAGGACAACTTGTAAGAGTCAGTTCTGTCTCTCCTTCATAGGATGCTGGCGGAGATCAGACTAGGGTCACCAGGCCAGTGCCTTCACCCACTGAGCAATCTCACTGCTCCAACCTTAAACTTGTTTGTTTTTTCAAGACAGGGTTTCTCTGTGTAACAGATATGGCTGGCCTGGAACTCACTCTGTAAAATAGGGTGGCCTCGAACTCACAGAGATCAGCCTGCCTCTGACGCCTGAAGGCTGGCATTAAAGGCATGCAGTTTTTTTTTCCAATCTTAAACTTTTGGTCTTTTTTCCTTTCCCTACCTGTTTTATGGATCAGCTAACTCATTCATGCTAGGTAACTCTTCCAAGTTGCCCCGCCCCCACTCCCCAGCTATGCAATCTCTACCGAACACATAAACAGTTGTGTTTGGGAAAGTGATACTTGGATTCACCTGGGACTGGGCACAGGAGGGACATGCTCTCTCCATCATCATGCAGGAGGGTCATGCTCTGTCCATCACTATGCTGGAGATTGGGACTATGCCTCCTGAGGTTTGCCCAGTCTTTGTGGGCACCAACCAAGCCAATGTGGGGATTGGGAACACCAGGGAACAGAGTCTTAGAATAGCTTCATTAAGTATGAAGATCCCTGATGCAGAAAGCTTTGGGATAAAGCCACTCTCATCAATAGATCCTGCTGTTTGTCTTGAGGTGTGGGATCCACTGCCAAACCCCCAGGTACAATACATTCCACTCTGAAATCACCTGAGTTTCTTTTAACTGGGGGTGTAGTTTGCCTACAGTGAACCCCGAACTTGTCAATTTTTAAAGAACGTACATCAAGACTCATGACATTTTAGTCCCTCCATTTTAACTGGGGGTGTAGTTTGCCTACAGTGAACCCCGAACTTGTCAATTTTTAAAGAACGTACATCAAGACTCACGACATTTTAGTCACTCCAAAAGGCTGCCTGGCGCCCTGCTACTCAATTCTATCTCCTAAAGCCAGCCACTGCTAATCTGATCTCTGCCACGGAGAGTCAGTTTACCTCTGTGGCTTTCCACGACTGGGTTCCTATAGTAAAGTGTAGTTGTGCATTCAGTTTCAGCTCGGCACTGTTAGATTCATCTACAGGGAGGTTTGATTGCCCCTATGACTGAAAGGTCATTCTCGGATGTCTCCCGGTTGCTGCTTGCTGAGGATGGATGTTTGAGCTGTTGATGGTTTGGACAAAGTTACTATGACCATTTGCATTCATATCTTCTGTGACTATATTTGTATTTCTTCTGGGCAAACGCCTCGTGTGTGCGTGCATGCGTGTGTGTGCGTGTGTGTGTATGTGTGTGTGCCTGTGTGCGTGTGCGTGAGTGTGCCTGTGTGCGTGTGCGTGAGTGCGTGTGTGTGTGTGTGTGTGCGCGCGCGTGTATGTGTGTATTTCTGGGTCTCTGAACAAATAGGGTAAGTACTCAGGCAGAATTCTAAACATTCTTAAGGTCTCTGCCCATGGCCCTGTGCCAGCACTTCTCCTGAACTTGGGCAGGACCAAGGCTTATCTGTAGCCAATGACAATAGAGATGGCAAAGATGATGGCAGTCACTCCCAGGGTGACTCCATGTTGCTTGAGACTCCTCACAGGTTGTTGAGAGGTCCCCAGAAGATAGCTGTGTGGCGAGGAGCTACCAAGGCTTCTCCTGAAGCCAAGCAGCTGGCAGCCAGAAAGAAAACGGGATCCAGCCTCACAAATATAGCTGAATCCTGCAACAACCACAGAGCTGAGTAGAGCCCCCAAGTTCTGGACAGGAGGAAGCCCGCATCTGGATTCAGTCCAGTAAGACCCCTAATGGAGCAACCAGTGATGCTGTTCCTGGGCTCCAGGCCCACAAAAACCGTGAGGTCATTATGAGAGAACCTTACAGCTCACAATCCACTGTTTTCTATTGTAGACTTTGTGGTAATTTATTCTTCAGGGCAGAACACCAATATGCTAGTGTGTTAGTCTGTTTCTACATAGTGCTGCTGTAACAAAATACTGATGACTGGGTATGTTGTTCTTTAAAATCCTTTCCCCATCTTTTTTACAATTCTGGAGTCTGGGAAGCCCTGGAGAACTATATGGGAAGAAGGGGAGAGCTTTCTGTCAATAGCAGTGAAGAAAGGAATATCACTTCTTGTTTAGTACCTAATGACGTTTTCATCTTAGTTCAGTTCCTCTTAAAAAGGGAGTCTGGAGTAAAAATTAGCATGCTTATGCTTTATGTGGGAGAAGTGAATTCAGTGACGCTAAGAGAAATGACATGCCACCACTGCTGGCGGCCACTGAGGGATGCCCTGCAGTCTGTGCAGTAAGCCTATGAGGCTGAAGGGTAAGCCTTGCCTCAGTATTCCCTTAGAGCAGTGGTTCTCAACCTTCCTAATGCTGTGACCCTTTAATACAGTTCCTCATGCTGTGGTGACCCCAACCGTAAAATTATTTTCATTGCTACTTCATAGCAGTAATTTGCTACTGTTACGAATTGTAATATAAATATCCATGTTTCCCGGTGGTCTGAGGTGACCTCTATGAAAAAGTTACTTCACACCAAGTGGCTATGACCCTTGGTCAGATTGGCATTCCTAGCTCTGTCCGGAGTCTGTTTTCTCATTCGGAAAACTCATCCCTTGGCCTTCTCCCCTGTGCCCCCCAGGCCCTCTGTGAAAGGCCCACTCAAGACCAGACCATACATTGTGGTGCTTCATTCAGCACTGAAAACAGGAGGCAACGAAGGGCCACTCGCCTTAGCTGCAGAACAGCCAGATGCAGTCTCCCATGTACTCATCCTCCAACGTGACCCTAGCTGTCACCTGCCTACCCCAATGCCTGTGTGTTACCTGAGACTCATGGGGAAAGCTGTCACTTCCGGGTTCCATGAACTCTGGCCACTCCCGGGTCCCTGTGGTATGTTGGACACAGGTGCTCTTGTTGCCTCCTGACTTTGGAATTCTACATTTCTTCTTTCTTGGCTTATGCTTTAGTTATGGCAGAAGACTTCCTAAGAAATGGGACCTAGTAGGTAATGTGAACCAAAGTTCAATCTAGTCTTGGTCTTACGCATCAGACTTAGGAAGGTCAAACACTGAGGCTGGAGAGGTGGGTGGTGACGAGCACTGGTTGCAGACTTATTGAATCAGAGAGAACAGAAAGTGGGGACTAGACTTGAACTCACTGATGTAAGTGTTCTGAACAGAACACCATTAGCACAGACACTAAGATAAACTATTAAAAAACGGGACCTCATGAAACTGGGAAGGACACCATCATCTGAACAAAGTTGTTGGCTATGGAATGGAACAAGATCTTTACCAACTATACATTCCATAGAAGGCTAATATCTAAAATATATAAAGAACTAAAAAAAAAAACTAGACATCAAGAAAACAAACAACACAGTTAAAAATGAGTGCTGATCAAAATAGAGTTCTCAAATAAGAAAATAGAAATGGCTGAGAAGGACTTAAAAATTTTTTCAACATCCTTAGTCATCAGGGAAATGCAAATCTAAACTACTTTGAGATTTTATCCTACACCAGTCAGAATGGCCAAGATCAATAAAGCAAATGACAGTTCATGCTGGAAAGGATGTGAGGTAAAAGGAACACCTGCCCATTGCTAGTGGGAGTGCTAACTTGCACAACCACTGGAAATCAGTGTGGCAGTCCTTCAGAAAGATAAGAGATCTACCTCAAGATCCAGCTATAGCATGCTTATTCATATGTCCTAAGGACTCTACATCCCACAACACAGACACTTGGTCAACCATGTTCATTGCTGCTCTATTCATAATAAGCAAATATTGGAACACCCTAGATATTTGTCAGTTGATGTACAGATAATGTAGTAATTTACACAGTGGAATATTATTCAGCAGTTAAAAAGAGAAATCATGAAATTAGCAAGTAAATGGATAGAGCTAGAAAAAAATTAACCCGAGTGAGGTAAACCAGACCCAAAAAGAAAAGTATACTATGGATTCACTTATGTGTAGAGATTACCTGTTAAATTATTAATAAATAAGCTACAACCATACAACCACAGAGGTTAGGTAGCAAGTAAGGGACTAGATGGAGAGAAGGATCTCCTTAGGCAGAGGAAATAGAATAGATAGTTATGGATGGATGAGGGGTGTAGGAATGAGAGGGTCAAATGGGGACAGGGAAGGAAGAAGAGGGTAAGAAACAGACCATTTGTGGGGTTGTATGGAAACCCAATACAGTAGAAGGTTCTTAAAATATATACATATATACAAGGAATCTAAATGAAGTCACTAAATAATGGGAAAGACACAGCCCCAACTAGACAACTCTCCAAATGAAAACTCCACTGCTGGGAATGGATTCCTTCTAATTGAGTTGTTGGTCAAATGGGCTTAATGGAAACCCCCAAACAATCCAAGCTATTGCCAATGCTATTTATTGCTCTTCCCAAAACTGGTGGTAAGCTCTATTGCTGAAGACAACACCTTCAGAACTCACTGAACATGAAGAAGTCAAGCTCTTGCCTTAAAAACAAAACAAAACAAAACAAAAGGCACTGACTGCTTTTGCAGAGGACCTAGGTTCCATGCCCAGCACATACGTCAGCTCAAAACCATCTGTAACTTTGGTTCTAGGAGATATGACACCTCTTCTGGCCTGCCCAGGCACCAAGCATGCACTCAATGTACATACATGTATGTAGGCAAAACATCTGTACACACAAAATAAAATAAATAAATTTTCTTTTAAAACAGGAAAGCCAAAGCCAAATGCAAAGACAAGCATTGTTTGTGCCAGACAGTAATGACACGACCTTGAGCATTGCTGTCCTAACTAGTTAGTATGTCAGCAATTTGAATTGGCTATAACACTCAAATTATTGTTAGTGTGAGAACATTAACCTTCAAATGAAAGTACTGTAATCACTTTAGAGTGAACATCCCCTTATGTGGTTTGTAAGCATGAAGTCTATCGAATATTTGTAATATATAAAAATTTGAATTCTGAAAGATAATTAGTGAGTAATTTTACACATGAAAGCACATACTGAAAATATTCAAGTAGCAGTATAGAAAACAGAGTGTTAGTTAAGATTAAGACAGGTTAAGACAGAGAGAAGGGTAGCTAGAGGAAGAGTTTGACATCCTTTCTAACAAAATGTAAATAGAAAACTAAGTGATACAAGAATCTAATGGAAGAGAAACTGTGGAATAGTCTAGATTAGATAGACCCTAATTCAAACCACTATCACATTGTTTCATCACTGATAATTATGAAATGAGCAAAACAGTCAAAATTATATTTAACATTTCTTATTTACAGTCATATTCTACTATTTCAGTCAACAGCAGTGGAGTGAGTATGCAATGGAAGGTCCATTAGATTGTAACAGACACAACAGCAGTGGAGTGAGTATGCAATGGAAGGTCCATTAGATTGTAACAGACACAACAGCAGTGGAGTGAGTATGCAATGGAAGGTCCATTAGATTGTAACAGACACAAGGCTCTGACAGCACTCATCTGTAACTACTTAGGAGTGGGAAATCAGACAAGGTCAGCTTGGACTGCATATCAAGACCTTCTTTAAAAACAACGAGGAAAAGTGAGGCCAGGGACAAGGCTCAGCAGGCAAAAACACCTGCAGCAAAAGCCTGATGAGCCAAGATCCACCCCAAGAACACTCATAAAAAACCCAGAAGCAATGGCACACAGCTGTAATTCCAGCACTCCTATGGCAAGCTAGGCAGTAAGACAGGAGAAACTGCAGAAGCTCATGGGCCAGCTAGCTCAGGATACCGGCAAAACCAAAACAAGACACAATAAAAACTATAAAACAAAAATTATATGCTCTTAAACAGTCTTATGACAAGCAATGCATGATTATGTCACCATCTGGGCTAAAGGTATTCTACAAAAATCTGCCATAACTGGAGAAAAAGTACTTATTCCAGTCAGTATATCTTCAGAAGGAAGAAAAACCTCAAAGCCATGTATGACCTCATCCATGATAAACCATCTACAGTCCAGAAATCATATAGATATAAAGAACATAGGACAATTTTTAGGAAAAAATGAAGTAAAGAAAACATTTTCTTCTCACTGGCCAAATATCAAAGTAGCAGATATCACAAGAGTTCTTTAATATAATTCCTTATGGGTCTGAGTTCTTGGAAGTTAAAGCTATCAACAATCAACTCATTGAAAGAGTTCCAATAAAGTGTGATCAATTTTCAATAAAGATGATGGACAGTTGAGTCAAGCTGTGAATCCCAGGTTAATTACAGTTTGAAAATCTACTTTGCTATGTAACAGAGGTTATTATTAGTAACAATTCTAACTGATGTAGTTACGTTGGTTTTCTTCTGGTTTGTGTTTTCATGATCTTCTTCATTCTAATTCTGTTATATTACTTTTTATTATTTAATTATTGCTTTACATTAGCATGCAAAGGATTAGGCATCATCATGGCACTTTGAAACAAGTTATCTTGCCGGTACTCCTCCATACCTTCTCCCCCACACCCTGCCCTCATATTCTTCAACTCCCCCACATCATAGCCTCTCAGCTTTTGTTTGTTTGCTTTTTGAGACAGGGTTTCTCTGTGTAGCCTTGACTGTCCTGGAACTCACTCAGCAGACCAGGCTGGCCTTTAACTCACAGAGATCGTCCTGCCTCTGCCTCCCCTCCTAAGTGTACCTCCCTGCTTTATCTCAGCTTTTACGTCACATATCATATTACCTTTAACTCTTCTGATCCTTCTATTCCAACAGAGACTTTTATAAACAGAATATGGATAAGTTTTTAAAAAGACCGATGGTAACTTTTGCCTTTTTCATTGTAGTATTTAGTCTATTTATATTTAATGTAATCATTTGGCCATTTGACTGTGTGTAAAATTTTAGTTAAGAAGTAATTTCTCCACATCACATTCAAAGCCATGACACCCATGCTCTAGATTTCAGGGTTGGTTTTTGAGAAATCCAACCCAATCCCAACTCCTGGTTCTTTTTATGTGAACCTCCCTCCCACATGCTCTGGAAGTATTTCAGGTGCTTTTCTTTCTCCAGTTGTCTTTGTCTTGTTTTGCTATTGTATTGCAGAACATCACCAACTCAGTGATTTCTAAGGAAAATTAAGTTTATTTCCTACACCTCTGGAGTCTGGGAAGTCAGTCCATGGTCAAGAGACCAGCATTTAGTGAGTAATTATTTGCTGCAAGAGAGCATGCATGAAAGAACAAGAAGCCAGAAAGAGTCTACCTCACTTTTATGCTGAGTACAACCCACCCAGCCTCATTCCCTCCCAGTCACATCCAGTTCTCAGCATCCTTTCAATGGGTATATTCGTGTTTGTCTTCAGATCTGTAAAATTTTACTATCTCTTATTTTTGTTTGTATCTCTATTATCTTGTTTGGAAACTATATTATTTTTAGCTGTCGGGTCTTCTTGGGAATTGTTATGGAGTTTGTGACCCTTGGGAAGAGATCACAGAGTCAATCCAATTAAAATTAAAAGGTTTATCAATTAGCTGCTAGCAGGACAAACAAATATCTGAGCCAAATTTGAGACTGCCTTGAGGAGCAGGGGTGGGAGAAGGATTTTTTTAAAGGGAAAACCCACAAGAAGATTGCTAATATCTACACAAGCAAGCAAAAACTGCTCTGTGTCCCCAAACAATCTTTGGGTATCTGCATAAGTAAACTGCAGAAGTCAAAAAAGCAGTTAGTAATACCATAACAAGTCATGACGGCAGTACATTTTTGGATGGGGGGGTGTCACTGAGTCAAAGTTATAAGGAACTTATCTTCCAGGGACTGGAGTCAGAGATAAACAGCTTGTAGGTACCAAAATAAACGCCTAGCATAAAATGGAGTCCCTTTAGCCATCACAGAGTCACATCCAATGGGAACTTGAGAAATGCATTGTTAATGATGTGAGAACAAGCTTGTAAATTTGCCTCAGTTGTTTTTTTTTAATTTGACTGTAAACTGCAACCAAAACAAAACAGCAACAACAAAACCCAAAACCAAAAAAACAAAACCAACCAACCAAATACCTCTGCACATACTTGAGAAAGACATGCAGGTGAACAGTTGGAAACGCAGCAGGAGCTCATGGTTTCTGGCCTGGCACTAACTGGCAAACAGATAATGGTCTCACCCCTGGCTTCCACCCTCAGGTTTCCCTGCTCATGATGATCTGGGGAAAAACACACCAACTCTCTGGTCCCTATTTCTTGTCAATCAGGAGAAATGAGAGCAATGACACCTGCCCACCTAGTAGAAGAGTGCCACCTCTCACCTGGTAAAGAGGGATGGGCTTCTGAGGGTGGGCTTGTCATTGCAACAACAGGGTGGGGGCAGTGCTGGAGTTCAGAGGGCTCTTCTCTCTCTTCTCTCTCTTCTCTCTCTTCCCTCCCTCTCCTTGCAGACAGATCACAACCTCAGATGACCATTGCAGAGACAGGCACTCAATGTGACATCTTGGCAACTGCTTCTGTCAACAGATCAGCACCTGGAGCACTACTAAGGTCACTTGGAAGTAGATGGAGATCAGATTCACACCCCTCCCAAGCTCTTGACCTTGGATGACAATTCAGACCTGGTTTGGGGTCAAGACTTAACATTTCCTGCTTGAGATCCTGAGGCCAGCAGTGTCATTTTAACATTAAGGGCATAAAGATCCCTTGTCTTTATCTAGGAAGACAGAGGGCTGTGTCACCTCCCCTGCCCACCTTGCCTGTCCCTGTCACTGCCTTGCTCAGGCTCTTAGCGCACACCCTGGTGAAAGTTCCTAATCTTCATCTTTACTCTGGGTTAGGTTTGGTGGTGGGGATCCAGCCCTGGGCTTTGCACATGCTAAGCCAGCTCCACCACTGAGCCCCGCCCTCCCTCAATGTCAGCCAACTCAAGCCTGTTAAACCCCTCTTACTTTACCTAGGTCCTTATCATCTAGCTAAATAGAACATTATTGTTTTATTTTAATGTGAAGTTTCCTGTCTTTCTTCATTTTTGTCTTCTATAAAAATGCATTTCCTTTACTTCATTGGGAGGGTGAGGGGGACTTGAGGAGATGGCTCAGTTCAGTGCACTGGCTGCTCTTCCAGAGGACCCGAGTTCAGTTCCCAGCTGCCTCAGAGGATCTGACACCCTCTTCTGGCCTCCAGGGGCACCTACATTCACGAACACCCTGCCCCCAGATACACACATATGCATAATTAAATATAATTAAAATAAATCTTTTCAAATTACCATTATTCCTTTGCTTCATTTCCCCCTCTCCATATTTGGGAAGATTTTGTGCTATTGTTATGACTTTAGTGGTTATATTCAAACTTTACCAATGTATACGGATGTATTAAAATTAATTTTTCATTCCTTTTTTAGAATTGCTTCACCCTACTCACCTCTTAACTCATAGTACGAATTACATTGTTTTGCTATTATTTTTGTTGTTGTTTGAGACAGGGTTACTCTGTGTAGCCCTGGATGCCATAAAACTTGCTCTATAGACCAGGCTGGCCTCAAACTCAAGAGGTCCACCTGCCTTTACCCCCTGAGTGACAGGATCAAAGGTGTACACCACCAGCTAATTTGGAATATTTTCGTTCTGACATTTTTACCTGGCAGAGAAATACTTGGGCTACTGGTATCATCATTCTGTATTGGCTTGCCATTTTCCTTCATGCTTGTACCATGCTCTTGGCGTTGTTTTCTTCCTTGAATTGTATTGTGCTTTCTTTCTTTTAACATTTATTTTGTGTGTGTGTGTGTGTGTGTGTGTGAGAGAGAGAGAGAGAGAGAGAGAGAGAGAGAGAGAGAGAGAGAGAGAGAGAGAGAGCATTTGGCTCATGTGCCGTAGCATGAATGCGGAGGTCTGAGGATAACCCTGCAAGGGAATTCTCCCGGGGTTTTCAGGTATAAGCAACGGCACAGAAACTACCCAACTAGACCACTCCATGGAAAGATTTATTGGGGATCAAACTGCCAAGGTCATGGGGAGGGGCAGAGATGGGATCAAAGTGATAGAAAATCAAGCAGGTTTTCTATCACAGTGAGCATGGGGAACTGAGCTGATAGAAACTGGACGGATCTGGAAGGAGGTGCCCTTGCCTGAGGTAGCTGACCTGGAGCATCAAGGGAAGTTCCTGATGGAGAGAAAGGGCCTTAAGGAATCTGCTTCTCTAGCAAACAAACAGAAACCTATTTTTTTTCCTCGAGACAGGGTTTCTCTGTATTGTTTTGGAGGCTGTCCTGGAACTCTCTCTGTAGACCAGGCTGGCCTTGAACTCACAGAGATCCACCTGCCTCTGCCTCCAGAGTTCTGGAATGAAAGGCATGCGCCACTAATGCCTGGCACATAAACCCATCTTTAGACTTATTGTTTACCTAATAACAGTCCTTCTGTTTACTTGGCCAAAGTCCTTCTGTTTCGGACAATGTCACCAGCACTGCTATAGGGAAGGGGGTGTGGTGAACCTAACTCTAGGGATCCAAACTCAGATCATCAGGCTTTTTTGGCAAGTTCCTTAACCTGTTGAGCTATCTCACTGACCCTGTTTGATTTTGTAAGGCAGGGTTTTACTATGTTTGTAGCCCATGATGGCCCCAACTTTACAATCCTCTCCAGCCTCTCATGGGCTGTGCTACTGAGGGCATGTGCTACTACCCCAGACAAAATTAACCTTCTAGCACCTTGATTTTGTTTTCTATAAACATTTCACCCTTATTCTTTGGCTGGATTCACAATTCTAGGTTAACGCCCGTTTTTCCCAACATTTATGTCTATTGCCGTGTTGAGAAGTAAGTGGGCTGCCATTTTAATTCTAGCTGCTCTTTGCACGCAACCGGCTTTTGTTCCTGGCTGTCTTGAAGGCCTTCCTTCTGCTTTTGATGTGTTGCCATGTAATCCTAATGCATCTAGGCATGGATTTCTTTTCATTTATCCCGCTTAAGCTGCATTGTACTTCCTGGATCTGAGGACTCATCTGTGTTTTCAGTCTCTGTTAGACTCTCCAGCACTGCCTCCCCACTCTATCTGCCTTCAGGATTCCAACCAGATATGCCAACCTTTTCAGTCGTTTTGGCTCCTACCCTGTCTTTCCTTCCCCCTTATTGTTGTGTTTGTTTTCTGTGCTGGGGATAAATTCACTTTCAACACGTCTGACCTTTTTTCTTTTCTTTTTATATTTTGGCTTTGATTTTCAATTCAGTGGCTTATTCTTGAAATTTCCATTTGCTATTCAATCTGTCTGTCGCTGGCTTTTCTGAAGTGAGCGTCTCTCAGCGATCATGTGCTTGTGTGAGACAGGAGGCAGACCAGTGAACAATTCACGATGAAGTGCTAACAACACGACGAACAGCACATTTGGACCAGCACGCACACAAAGAGCTAAATGACAGTGGGACAGGTCACTGTTGTTCAAAACTCACGGACCACAGATTGTGCCATACTCAACATCCTCACACTTAAGTACATGTATAGAAAAGAAGCTGGGAATTAAGTAGGGGCATCTCTAAGTCAGAGAAAGAATAAAAACTTCTGAAGAAAGCAGAAGGAAGCAAATAATGAATATGAAGAACAGACACTCATGAAACAGGAGTCCAAGAGAGTAGATGGGGTGGATATGCCCCATGCTCTTCTGCACTCAAGCGTTAGGGGTCTTCTAGAAAGTAAGCCAAGGGAGGCTTCGGGAATCTGTTGGCTCTGTCTGGCTCTCTGGAGTACTCTGTCACTGCTTCTAGAGACACGTGGCTGGTCTCTGAGCAACCATCGGGGTGGCTGAAGACCCTGCCCAGGCCACTTCCTCTCCTGGCAGCTATAGGGATCAGGGTCCACACGGTGATTTTCTAGGCTTTGTGCCCCAGCTGAGCTGATGGAATGTTGTTGGAGGAAGGATCGGAATGGAGTGAACCAGGAGCACCCTGTGCCTATAAATCATAGATATTTGCCAAGTGGAAAAATACCAGCCTTCGGACTGTTTCATTTAGTGCTTCTTGAGACATTTTGTCCAAGGACTACAATGCATTGGGCTGGACCTCGCCTGAGCCAGGTGTGCATAGCTTCTGGGTGCCCTTCGCAAACAGGCAACCATTTCCGGGGAACAGGTCTGAAGTTTGCACCCCTGTATGCCCAGAGGGAACTGCGTGCTTGCGTCAAGCCGCTGCCCTTTGAGAATACCTTTACAGGGCCTGGGAGGCTTCCAGGAGTCACCTGCCCAGTTCTTCCTCTGTGATCTTAAGGGATTGCCCAAGGACAGGTTCAGAGAGCTCCTGGAAGTGGCAGCCCAGACTGTGGCCCCCAGTCTTGGTGAGAGTAACCTGAGGACCATGGCTCCTCTGACTGCAAAGCTGGCATCCGTAGCTGCCTCGCATCCGTAGCTGCCTCCAGTGAGCCAGGGAGGGGAAAGTCCTTCCCGGGCAGGGCCAGTTGGGCAGTCCCAGCTCCAGTTGTGCTCAGCCAGGGCCCCGCCACAGGCTCTGCTCAGCCCATGGAGCTGTGGAAGAGCAGCTCCAGATATGGAGGAAGGGGCTCTTCCAGTGACACTGGCTTTCAGAGAAGGTTCCCAAGACTCAGTGAGCCCTTGCAGAGGAAAGAAATGCCTGTTGGGCAGAATCTCTGCCATCGTGATGATGAGGCCGGTTCCTGGTGTGATTAGCAGAGAATCTCTGGCCTCTTAGAAAGGTCTGGAATGCAGCCATTGTATTCCACTGATGGATGGAATGTGCCTCACTGCAGACGATTTTATAGCCTTCAGGCCTTATAGGACTGTGTACAACTACCTCCTACCTCTCAACAACCACGGGAGGTATCAGGTGAGTTCCTGGGTGAAGTCCTGGGCCCCTCTGCCTTGACTGCCCATCAATACAGACGGTAAAGATGGAAGGATGAAAGGCTGGGCCTCAGGTGGAAGGGCCTTGTGACGCCTCGTGAGCTAATGGTTAATTTCCACACCACTCTGAGAAGGTTCATAATATTAATGACAATTCAATGACAAGAAAGACATTGAGACTGAGAAAGATGTCCTACGTATGGATCAGGCTCACAGAGAGAACTTGTGACTGACTGGCCCAGGACTTGAACCCAAGTGTCTGACTTTGCAGGCTGTGTGTCCTGATGGTTCCAGCTTCTCCCAGGCCCCTATGCGGCCCTGGGAGTTTGACTGTGAGCCTTTCTCTGAGTCTCAGCGGGTGGAAAGCTCCCTCTACTGGGCAGCCAAGGTAAGCAACTGAACCTTCCCACGGAAGGTTTGAAGGATGGTGCTTGACAGAGGGACTTCCTACTACCTGGGGTTCTGTGGGCCCAGCTTCCTGAGCCCCTGGTGTGTAACCATCCTCTAATCCCAGGCCTCCAGATTTCTGAAGACTGAGCCTTCTCATAAATCTCCTATGAGGAAGTAGCCAACAGTTGGTTTCTGCTCCATTCCCGGAAGGAAACCACAGACACAGAACAAAGCCTCCTGGGAGATGTAGCCTCTCTTTCTGGGAAGAGGTGCTGTGGTTCTGGGTTCTCCGTGGAAGCCAGGCTCACTAGTTAGCTACTTTGGGCCTTGCCCTTTTCTGCTGGCTAAGGGCAGTAGGATAAGACGGTCTGCTTGCCTCCATGAGCTGAGCTTAGCTACAGTTAGTGGGAAGGGGACACTCCTTGACTCCCTCCCACCTCAGCATGCCCAGCCCCTCTCACTGGTCAAGTGGAGCAAGTATCCACACAAGCTTGTATACTCACACGTGCAACGCCTGCCTCACAGCATTCCCGCATCCCTCTTGCACACTCTCACACACATTTTATTTCCCTTCTCCATCAGCCACCTGAGACACCCGTTTTGGTGCTTGGACAGTGCAGGTTGCTAAGCAGAAAGCAATGAGGCTAGAAAATGAGGAGACTCGTCTGGAACCTGGGGGCGGGGGATGGCAAGGGAGCTGCTGGATTATGCTGGAAGCCGTGCACGGCCCTGTCAGGGGAAAGGGCCTCTGAAGGACAGGCTGGGTCATGACTCTGGCTGAGTCCTGGGTCCTGAGAGGTTAGTGTTGCCCTGTCTGGAGGTTGTGAAACCCCTTATGCCACTCCCACCCTGAGCCACCCTCCTTTCCTTTCCTCACTTGGTTCTTCTTTGTCTGAGGACTTCTGTTACCAAGGCAGGCGGCCGGGAACCAAATGATCCACCTCCCAGGCCACAAGCAAGCGCTCACACACGGGTCTTCAGGCATCCTGGCCCACCAGACAGTAGAGCCCTTCCTTGTTTCTGGATGAGCTATAGTCTTCAGAGCTGCAGGTGAGCAGCAAGGACAGACCCAGGAAGCAGCCGAGATGTGTATTCTCAGGGTACCACATCCTCCACGTGAGCAAGTGGCCGCAATCTCAGCGGCTAGATTGATGGGCTTCCTTTTCTGGCTTTACTCATTCACAGTTGGGTTTAATAATCACGTCACTAATTTATAGTTATTTAGTGGTCTAAAAAAATGAGGCTTCTCCCCCATCCCCCCCCCGAATTTCATTTGGCTTTTTGAGTTGTCTGTGATGGGAGAATTGACAGAAAGCCAATTTTTTGACAGATGGTGGAACTAAGGCAGTTTCCCTTGCCCTGCAGAATTCCACGTCCCTGTGAAACAATTCTTGTCATCTTCTTCATTGCCCCCTTTCTCCCTAAGCCTTGACTCTCCCATTCCTACTCTCTATAATTCCCTACTTCACTGAGAAAGAATGGCCTTTGGGAACTCCCAGGCGCCTCTCCACTACCCTCTCTTCCTATTTCGGGTCCTCTTGTTACAACAGACTACAGTACCAAATGCCAGGGGAGATCATGGCCATTCCCTCCTAAGGACAGATGTCCCTATCTACAGGAAGGAAAGAGCTTTCCTCTACTCCTTATCTCTGAGCCCTGGTATCCTCTCACTTTCATGATTCTCAACTGAAGCAAATGCCTGCAAAGAGTTGTCTGCACTGCTCTCCGCTTCGATTTCCTTCAAACCTTCTCTAACCCGGCACTGGGCCACCAGGCCCTATCATCTGATGCTCTCAAATCCCGCCTGCTTCTTGAAACTCATTTTACAGCCGCTGTCAATGGTCATGGCTCATACCCCACATCTTGGCTACTAGGTTCTCCTCTTCCTGGCCCCTTCAGGGTCCTTGCTGACTCCTCCCACCGTATGACCTATGATCCTTGTGTACTTGAGTCTCAGCCTGTCCTGGCTAATTTTTGTCAACTAGACACAACCTACAGACACTTGGGAGGAGGCTACAACTGAATTGTCTCCATTGGACTGTGAAGATGGAACAGATCTGCATAACTAATATTGGGGAAAGAGGTCTAGATATTTAGAGAGAGCAATCACTTACATGAAAAGCCGGGTCAGCACTCTATGGTCTCCGAACTGCAGCCAGGATCCAGGAGAGCAAGTGCCCACTCATCTCTTATTCCCTGAATCTTCCCACGTACCCGTGACCACGCCCCAATTGGACCTGATGGGAAATACAGTGGTCTTGTAGGTTGCCTTTTTAAAGTCTCTGCAAGGTCTGGGAACCAAAAAATGACCTAGCCAGAGAGTCTATCAACCTGGCCAGTATTTAATTATAACTTTCTTCAAATATGGCTTTCAATTGCGGTAATGGGCGTCTTCTCAACCAGCCTGGTCAGTTTAAGAAAACTAGCTGAGTGAGTCAATTACTTTGTACCATTCCTCCATGGTTTTTGTTTGGATTCCTGTCCTGATTCCCTTCAGTGATGAATTATGATCTAGAAGTGAAGCCCAAAAACTTCTCCCCCCCCCAGGTTGCTTTTAGTCAGTTTTATCACAGTCAAACTAGAGATAGCCATTGGGTGATTTCTGTCTCTACTGGTTGTCATAACCACCCCAAGTTAGCTGGGCAGGTCTCCAGGGATATACACTGGGGAGCGGGCAAATGTCTCTCTTCCTGGGCCTCCCCCAACTCTAGGCTTGTCAGTGACTTCTACTCATTGTCCAGTTAGATGTCTAACAGAACGTAAAAAATTAACAGGGTTGAGATTCCTAAACTTCCAACTCACTAAATAGTAACACCCTCTTCTGGTTGTTCTGGTCAAAAGATTTGGAGTGAAATTTGACTTCTTTCTTTGTTATTTGTACTAATATGCCATTTCTGTCTTCCAAATGTGTGGAGCAAATCCCTGACCTCCTCCACTGCTGCTCTAAATCACCGTTGCTCCTCATCTGGCTCATTTCAGTAACTCCCCCCACAGCCGCCAACTGGTCTCTTCTCCAGCTATGGCTTCCCTATACTGTATTTACCAGTCAGAAAACAAAGTCAACCCCTGAAAACACACAAGCCACTTTGCAACTGCACTCATTCTTGGGGATTCTATCTTGCTTTGCGAGAGACAGTGAGTCTTCGGTGACTAACCTGCCATGTCTCTCTACTCCACTCTGGTTTGATCTGCCCCAATCCTGCTGTTTTGTAAGCACACTGTGCTAGCTGCCACAACCTTGCCTGGAAGGTTTTGGTGAACTTCAATGGGCCAGGGTCTGAAATGTCTCTCCCTATATGCTTCTCTTGCAACATGGTTCCCTCCACGCGCAGTAAGAATCTCCTCCATCAAGGTTTAGCCTAGAGCAAATCCTCCTTTTGAGGACTGAGAGGATAGTGATTTGCAGCCTCTGCTCTCTTCACATAGGGCAAGCCCTTGCCCTCCCTGTAAGGTTCCATTCCAACTGCCCCAGCTAAGCCTTCCTTAGACAAACTCACTTCCTCTGATCACAAAAAGGGAAAGTTGCATTTGAGCTCATCATTGGTTATTATGTGAGCATCACACACTCCTCTTTATGCTGTAGTACCTTTGGTGAAATAACCTTTATTCATAAAACAAACTTTTCTTTTTCTGTTTAAATCCAGAAGTTCCAGAAGGTATGTGCTATGGTAAGATCAATCTCTAGCACATTGCACAATATCTTATCGAATAGCAGATGTTCACTAAACGGTCAAAGAAATAGTTGCCAATGAACTTAAGCAGTTGTAATGTAACAAACGCTGTGAGTGATTACATCTTTTCATTATATACCCAGGTTCATGGGCTAGGGAACAGTTCAGTGACAAAAGTAACACTGCACTACTTCACTGTACTGGATATCCATCTCACACACACACACACACACACACACTGTACTGGATATCCATCACACACACACACACACTGTACTGGATATCCATCTCACACACACACACACACACACACACTGTACTGGATATCCATCACACACTCACACACACACACACTGTACTGGATATCCATCACACACACACACTGTACTGGATATCCATCACACACACACACACTGTACTGGATATCCATCACACACACACACTGTACTGGATATCCATCACACACACACACTCACTGTACTGGATATCCATCACACACACAAACTGTACTGGATATCCATCACACACTCACACACACACACACTGTACTGGATATCCATCACACACACTCACACACTGTACTGGATATCCATCACACACACACACACACACTGTACTGGATATCCATCACACACACACACACACACACACTGTACTGGATATCCATCACACACACACACACACACACTGTACTGGATATCCATCACACACACACACACACACACACTGTACTGGATATCCATCACACACACACACACACTCACTGTACTGGATATCCATCACACACACACACACACTGTACTGGATATCCATCACACACACACACACACTGTACTGGATATCCATCACACACACACACACACACTGTACTGGATATCCATCACACACACACACACACACACACTCACTGTACTGGATATCCATCACACACACACACACACTGTACTGGATATCCATCACACACACACACTGTACTGGATATCCATCACACACTCACACACACACACACACTGTACTGGATATCCATCACACACACACACACACACTGTACTGGATATCCATCACACACTCACACACTGTACTGGATCTCCATCACACACACACACACACACACTGTACTGGATATCCATCACACACTCACACACACACTGTACTGGATATCCATCACACACACACACACACACTGTACTGGATATCCATCACACACTCACACACACACTGTACTGGATATCCATCACACACACACACACACACTATACTGGATATCCATCACACACACACACACACACACACACTGTACTGGATATCCATCACACACACACACACA